GCCTTGCCGTTCGGTAACGCGAAGATAGCCACCGTGATGCCGTAACGCGAAATGGCCGCACCATCATGCCGACACGCCAAGAAGGACACCATGATGCCCGGAGTACCGCGGGTGGCAGCCACGCCATGCCGACGGTTACAAAGGGGGTCACCGTGATGCCTGATTCACGGGAACTTTGCCGAGGGTGTTTTTAAAGAGACTGACTGGAGCCAGCCCTCGGCAATCATCACCTCGGCTCCTACGTGTTGCCGGACGCTTCGGCGCCCACCCCTCGTTGCTGCCGCGACGCTATTTGCCTACTGTGCATTTAGCTTCGTGCCCTATAGCCTATACTTTCCTTTACGGATTTTTCGGCATTAGGATGACTCTCTGTGCACCTTCTGGTGAACTGGACCCCATCTTCGGGCGCGTGCTCGGACGTGGGCAGACCTTTACCTCCCGCAGGGGTGTGTCTGGGGGGCCTTAGCGTGCCTGCCTTACGGTGCACAGAGAGTTGCCAATCTTTTTGCTAGGGACTGGTCTGGCAGACCATTCAATGACTGCCACTCTAGTTATTCGTTTAGGGCGATAGGCAGGTAGGAGCCCCCCCGCTTTTGGCATTAGCTCTGTCGAAATAGCTGCTGCTAGACAGAACACTGCCTTATTTTGCCGCCACTGGAACCGCCTTGAAAGTTAGCTTCTCTCCCTCACTGTGGTGAAGCAGCCTTTGGCTGGCTGCTTCTGAGGGTTGTAGGAGCTTACTGGAAAAGGTGCAGCACTCCTCCTTTCTCACTGTGGTGAAACAGCCCTTGGGTGGCAGTTTCAGAGGAAGGAGGAATTCACTTTGAAAAAGGTTCAGGCCCTCTCTTCCCTCACTGGTAAAACAGCCTTTGTGTGGCTGTTTCAGAGGGATGAGAGGAACTAGCTGGAAAAAGTGAAAGAGCTCCATCCCTCACCGAGGAGAAGCAACCTTTGGGTGGCTTCTTGTGAGGGATGAGCAAAGGGTTCCAAACAATGATGTTCAGTAGGTGGAAGAACATCCCCTCTGGTCTCTCCCCAGGGGTTCACACCTACACTGGCTCCTACAATGCTTTTTGTCCCGCCACTGGAACCACCTTGAAAGGTAGCTCCTCTCCCTCTGTGGAAAACAGCCTTTGGGTGGCTGCTTCCTGAGGGCTGAACGAGCCTCCCTGATAAAAGGTGCAGGACTCCTCTTTTCTCGCTGGAAAGAGGAATTCACTTTGAAAAAGGTTCAGGCCCCCTCCTCCCTCACTGTGGTGAAAATTCAGAGGGAGGAGAGGAACTACCTGGAAAAAGTGAAAGAGCTCCATCCCTCTCTGAGGGAAGAGCACTAGGGTTCCAAACAATGATGTCCTGTAGGTTGAAGGGCATCCCCTCTGGTCTCTCCCCAGGGGTTTACACCTACCCACGCGTTTGCTGTGCGTGACAGCCTTGTGTGCTGGGAGACGGGAGTCCTGGAGTCTGAGCGACGTCGTGAATGAGTACGCCCTGCGGCTAGCAACACGCCTCTTTGGTCCTCTATTCCAGCAAGACAGGCGACCTGATCCCGGCCCGGTCACGGTCAATCGGCTGGTCTCCCATGGGAGGTTAGGGTCAAGCAGTCATGCCTCCATTGGCACTCACAATGGTCCGTGAGTGCCGCCACAATGGTTATTGGCTGCGTATATCCTCTCATCACCCCTGTGGCTGTCAGACACTGGCTCTGACACACAGCTTCTCCTTGTTGGACTCCGTGGTGGGTGGGGGCGTGAGAGGATGAAGCACTTACCATTATATGGAAAATTTAATAAAAAAAAACTCACAGACTGAGATAAATGTTGACGACCCATGCAAGGCCCAGACCACGGCAGCCACCCTGGAACCATTCCTGGCTCCAGATGGTGGATTAGTCCATCAAATGGTGAAAAAGATGGACTCTCATGCTGGTCCCCCCAGACCAGCAGCCAAAGCAGGGACGGGAGCACAGGCTGGACCAGCCGAACCAGCAGCTGCTGCCCCCACGAACAAGCCCCCCAGCCGAAAGGGCGCACCGAAGCGACCAAGGCCGGAGACAGACTCTGATGGAGAGTCTGGACAAGAGTCTCAGCAAAAGTCGCTTCTCCCAGTTCAAGCTCCCAGCCTAACCCGAAGGCTTCGACAATGCCTACCAATTTGTTTAGAGCATTGGTGACGCACAGGCAAATCCGGCTCTCAATCCGAGTTGCCAGAGACCAAGGCATGATCATAGTGCCGAAAGATCATGCCTCCCAGAACTTCCTTCGGGAAATCAGGGAATTAAAAGATGGGAGAAAAGTGAGTCTTTCCCCATTGACTCCCGAGGATAAGAGAACCAAGATGGTGCTACTTGGCTTCTCAGTCTCGTCCTCGGCCGCGTTTTCGTGAGCAGCAAACGCCACGAAAAGTAGGTCTCAACCATTTTGACCTACCTTAAGTGGCATGCTGACAATCGTACAAGCGAATGTAAGATCATTTTATAATGTAAGACGCCTTTTTTACGACTTCCTAGATCGGGAAAGTCCTGACGTTGTTCTTTTAAATTCTACCTCTATCACTAATTCCTATATTATCAAACACTTCGGCTACACGTCAAGACAATCGTGAGACGGCTGGTGTGTAGGGTCCTGCATTCTTGTAAAATCCACCTTCCATTTCGAAATCATTTCACCCCCATTCATTCATCCTGATTTTATGGCTATCAAGCTATTCACCCAGCAAGGCCCTATAATGATCGCCACTGCCTATATCAGATCTTGCACAAACTTGCCAATTCATGATTTTAACAAACTTTTTAATTACAATAATCTCTCAGTCTTCTTTGCCGGGGATATTAATGCACGACACACATCATTTAACCACACAACCAACAACGCACACGGAAGACAGCTCTTGTCTATTTTCGAAACAAAAAGACTGCATTACATCGGACCCGACTTCCACACTTCATTCACAACAAGAGGGAAGGGCCGCCCTGATTTCGTTTTCGGGAATAGAGCGGCACTCCCCTACCACACACACCTACAACCCGGCCCGAACTTCGGTTCTGACCACATACCCGTCATTATAAAACTTTCTACTACACCTATACAAAACAAAGAAACAACATCCTTCAGGTATAAAAAAGCAGACTGGGATGATTTTAAATCTTACCTTGCCAGTCAAAATTTCAATTTTAATCTTGAAAGAGAAAATATTCTCGAAATAGATAGGCATTGGCATCATCTCTTCGCGTGGATTTCAGCAGCAATGTGCCGCGCCATTCCGCGAGAGCGCTTTAATACACGCATATCATTCCATCCAAGCGAGAGAACCAAGCGTCTCCTGACCTGCTACAGGAACCGTTTTCTTCAAAATTTAAATTACTTGCACCGAGTCCAGTGGGACTTATCTATCCTCAGAAACCATGGCATAAATAGTTTTGATAATGACCACAAAAATTATTGGTATAACTTAATTAAACAAACAGAATCAATTACAGTTCGCACTCCACGGGAATTTTGGCAATCTATTAGACAACTTAAAGCCAGTAATTCCCCCCCCCCTTCACTCACCTCCTCAAGGACAACATTCAAATTTCTGATCCCGTGGAGGTTATCAAAATTTTTCATGATCACTGGCAAACTGTTTTCTATCCTCATGAACCCCACCCTCTTTTTAATGAACATTTCCAAACAATCAGCACCTGGAACCAAGACCACAGGATAGAAACAGAACCAGAGCAGATTATCCACCTGGATAATCTGGACGACACATGCGAACTCCGTGCACACGAACGCAAGATGACACATCTTCAAACCGTGAGTACACATTTATGGGCCCCTTCTCTTTTCATTTCTTTTCTATTTTTTTCCTAAATGTGTTAGGCCGTGTACAGCCAGCTCACGTTAGTTTTTTTGGTTAAACTGCTAATTACAGCAATGGCTCGCTCTCACTCTCATTTCTCCTTCTCTGACCTCATTTCTCATTACTGTCAATCGCGGTATGGAGTTAAACAGTATGAAATCGTTCATTTATTAAGCGTCTATTTAATTTTTTTTCGTGATTGAATTATATTCTTTCAATTATATCGAATTTAGCGCGTTCGTGAATTTATTCTTTCACGAACATTCACTCATTAAATTCTTCTCTCCCCATTTCCTGTTTTGACCTGACCTCACGTGAAAGTCATTAAGTCAGCCTGCCTAAACAGCTGGTAGCTCTGACCTGACTTGACCTTGGGTGATTGTCAAAGTGATATGGCTGAGAAAACAGCTTGCAATTCCCTTTTAATTGTTTGAACTAGTGGTCACAATATAGGGTTAATGCATAGCAACTGTTACATGTTCATGGTGACAAATTCTATTGGCGCTAGAACGGAACATGCGACTCGTAAAATTATATATAACGCCAAGAGGTATCCTCATTGAAAGGTTGCAATTATGCGTAATGACTCAAGTATGAGAGTAGGTTAAGGTAACTGAAGTAAATCATATGTTTCCCAAACTTGAGCCAGGGTGACTGCAATTATGTCCTTTGATTTAGGACTAGGATTTATGTCTGATTTAGGATCCACTTAATTAATCACAACCTGCTCACACTTTACATGTCGCCGTTAGGTTGGGTAAAATCCCATTGGTTCGTGATTCATGATAAATCCCCGCAGGGCATATCATGAGTGCCCATCGTAGATCCGCAGATAGAGTGGGTAATTTATAGATTTTCCCAACTCGTTTAAGCTTCATAAAATACGGAGTTTTTGGGGACGGCTCCCCCCATCAAGTGAAGTCTGCATGGTCGGTAAAGACACCTACTTCCTCGGGAAAATTCCCGAGAAGATTTGTTCGCGAAAAGGCTTGCGAATAATTATCATGTCACCATTCATTAATGCGTCATTTTGTCGCATATTAAATGTTAAATTCAATGTGGTACTTGAAATAATTTCGAATCTGTCTATAAATAATTAGTCGCATTATTGTTAAAATGAACTTTATTCAGCGTGTTGGCAACACTACTGCTATAGGAGGTCAAACATGCACACATATTCACTCACTCACCGACGCAGACAAAAGACACTGAAAGCTTCATTAATAGGATTTGCTGCTGTCTTAGTTGCAGGCTTACATATTTGTTTGCCGCAATATTGTTAGTCGTGATGCATGACTTGTACATGATTTCGCATTTACATACTTTCCTTTCGGGTTCGACAAATGGTTCAAGTAAAATCCTTGCGGGTTGGCAATTGTTGTCCCCTTGACTTTATTCTCGTATCTATCTAGAGACGGTTTGGTAGTTCAAGATGTCCTTGCGGACGCTATCGCCGTCTCCCTCTCCTATTTTCCTCTTTTAACTTAACTTTGTGAACATAAAGAACAAAATAAAAAAAGACGAAAATAACGAAAATTCAACTTTAAAAACTGCAAATTCTGAAACAAAAAATCGGCTTGTAGCATTTAACACCTCTTCTCTGTCGTTTTTCTTTCTCTCACTATCTGGCCCACTATGTGTTATTCTGGTTCCCGATATCTGAAACGGCACCGAAGGAGGCCCTGCTGCAGAAACGGTCACCTTCGGAAGCCATTAGAAAACGTCATCGGAGATCGCCGCTCGCCAGGACGCCCGAGATCCAGCAAAAACAGGAGCTCGCCAGTAGGGGTTCACCGTACTTAATGGTGTGGACGGGCCTGCCTGGATGCCGCAAACCCAGTCAAACTCCAGATCTGCGATCTGCATTGGGCGAATAAGCCGCCGAGTTTGACCTGTACGCGGACTACGAGGATGTCTGGTCGAGGACGAACGGATTCCCAGTGACCAGAGCGAGGATGACGACACAGAACGAGCAGCCACGGAGATGCACCAAGGATACCGCACCCGAGATCGAGGACGAGCAAGTTAGGACCAGCCAGATTGGGTCACTCTTGAGGAAGTCTAGATCGCTTCGAGGACGAGCCGTGAGTAGGTGGCCGAGCAATATACAATATACTGTATACAAGACCCATGCCACGAGGCATCCCCACACCAAGCCGAAGCGACCTACCCACGCGACCTAGCCGCGTCACTTACGCACAAGCGGCGTGCCCTCAGCGTGGCTTGGGTTATACTACCTACCCTCGTTCCCCAAGCCAATGCTCGGATATTTGAGGCCGCGTTTCGACCCTGTCAAACCAGAGTGTGCCTGCTGCTGGTTGACCCAAGGTCGGCAGCCTGGCCGGCTCAGGTCAGGGCTGACCGTCCCCTCCCAACTGACCGCGCGTTACCCAAGGGTCATACTTGTGTTAACATCTCGCTTGCTAGCTCTTATCAATAAAGAGTTTTGAGCCACCAAGCTTTTACTACTTCCCTGTCACCAAATTAAGAGGTCCTTTAATACCTCTTACAATGTGTGTGTGCGTGTGCATGTGCGTATGTGTGTGTGTGTGTGTGCGCGTGTAAATATATATAAATATATGCATACACACACACACATATATATATATAACTAAACTTATATATATATATATATATATATATACATTATATATTTATATACATATATACATCTACACACACACACACACTTATATATATATATATAAATATAAATATATATACATATATGTGTGTGTGTGTGTGTGTGCGTGTAAATCTATATAAATATATGCATACACACACACACATGTATATATATAACTAAACTTCTATATATATACATTATATATTTATATACATATATACATCTACACACACACACATGTATATATATAACTAAACTTATATATATATACATTATATATTTATATACATATATACATCTACACACACACACACACGCATATATATATATATATATATATATATATATATATATATATATATATATATGCATATATATATATATATGAATATGTATGTCTGCTTATATGTGTATATAAGTATATATATACATATACTATAAACATGCATACATATATACATATGTCTACATATATACATGAACGAAAGAGAATGAAAGAAAGAAGATAGATGAATAAAAGAGAGAGAAAAATAAAAATAAAAGTAGCAGGAAAGGTACGGAAGAGAGAAAGGTGAGACAAAGAGGAAAATATAGACAGATAGAGAGAGGGGGTGAGAAAGAGAAACAAAAGGTATGCGCGAGTATAGGCATGGATACAATGATGGAAAATAAAACTGAAATATTTGTATTTATAAAAATGCCATTTGTTCCATGTCCTTGTATAATGCAGCAATAAAGTTCAATTAGGTCTAAAAAGTAAAGTAAGCTACACATTACCTTTGGAAAACTTGCTGAAGAGTATCATCGAGGACGCTCCCGCCGGCTCTCGGGTGGCGGAAGTCGTGGTGGAGACTTAGCACCACCTTCCACGTCGCGTCTATCATCCCCACGAGGACTTCCCGCAGGAACGGGGTGTCCTCGGTGTCACCGCTGATCTCCAGATCCAAGAGTGACGGACGTGCGTGGCTCAGAACACGCATGAATGCAGCTAAATGGCCGTCGGATATTCTTATGCGTCCCGTGAGACCCATCGCCTTGGTAAGTAATTCGCTCATCGTGCCGTCGCACTTGACTTCAGAGAGCAAGTCCAGCCACTGGGATGTATCACGAATGCCAGTGGCTTTGAGTAATTGCACAAGCTCCTTTGATCTTTCCTCCGGCAATGGCTTTCCTCTGAGGTGAAGCAAACCTGTGAGATGAATGAGAATGTTCTGGTACTTATCCAAGTCTAATTTTGATTTTTTGCCAATGTACTTGGCAGCTTCCTTGGTAGCTTTTCCTAGAACACTCTCGATACTACTTGCTTTCTTAATTGTGTCACGTTGGTATTCTGATAATTTCTTAGAGCAGTCTTCTAGGATGGATGTACCAATATTTTCAGGAACATCTTCACTCATGAGAACAGTCTCAAATCCAGAGATTATACGGGGGATGTTGAGTCCCACTCCATGCATTTTAAGAATGCCCATCAAATAAAGAGCCGAGTAGATGTCCTGCAAATTCTTGTGGGGAAAACAGTACTTTTCTTCGAAATTTGTCAGGGAAGTTTCCTGGATACAGAAAGATCCAAGAACCTCTTTTAGTGGAAGACTTAGAAGGCGACATGCCTCCTTGAGCTTCTGTACTGAAGACTGAGACAGAACGACAGCATCCCCACAATGGTTAACGAAAGCCTCTTTATAGAATTTTTTTAGGAACTTATCTACTTTTACTCTCAGTTCATCCATGTCGAAAGTCTTTGTTTCTTGGTGTTTACTTAGCCTCTGAAGCAATCGTTGCATGCACAATTTATGTGTCTTTGTGAAGAGTTCTGTCGCCGTGGTCAGACTGTTTACAGAATGTGGGTCAAGGAACCATAATATTGTCACGAGGACTAAGTTGAAGGGGAACCGCCAGTGGGCTTGCATCTGGCTGTCTTTTCTTGCCAGGTACCGGAGGAGACCAGAAATGTCTTTGTCAATGGAGCCTGGGTCCTGTAAAGCCTGGCTATAATTTCTTACAAACTCTTCACGTCTGTTCTCTTTTATGCCCAAAATCTTCATATGAATAATATCAAAGTTCTCTGGCACATAATCCTTGAAGTCAGGTACTCTGTTGGGTCGTGTTGTGCAGAGAACAGTGATGTCATCAGTTCTACCCATCTCCATGATTTCTCTCAGCACTCTGTCTGATGCTTCATTGAGTTCATCAAGCCCATCCACAATGAACATGAGTCTATTTTGCTGAATGCACTCAATCAGACCATGTTTGCCTTGGACTTTAATTTTAGATTTGGGCATCAAAGAGCCAAGGAGGTGGCCAAGGGAATTTATTTCGTCTCGGCACCTACTTAAAAATACAAGATCATAATCAGTGAGAGTCTCCATGTAGCTAGTGCCTGAGGCCCAGTCACTTATCATCTTTCTTGTTAGGGTTGTCTTGCCAACACCCGCAGGCCCTTCGATGAGCAACACGGAACAGTCTTTCCCTTTCTGTTCCCGTCTCTCCTCCGCCTTTGCTAGAAGTTCACAATATTGGACGAACTCGTGTATTTGTGAGCCTTCCTGCTTGATTTCCATCGTGGTGAAGACTTTATCCACACGCACCTTCGATTTCCCAAGCAAATTCGAAGCTGGACCAAAACTGGACTCCTCTCTGTAAATCTTCTTCAGCTCCTGTTTCCCTTCGACTTTCACCTGCTGGCGCAGTCTGTCGAGAACTATTCTGTGAGAACCTGATGTCTGTGAGGGATTGTCTCTGAGACTGTTGATCTCTTTGTTTATCTCTTCCAATTTACTTTGGATGGTATTATCATCTATGTTGTAGATTTCTGCTGCTTTCTTGAGGGCGTTATTGAGCAGATCTCTCAGCTCCTCTATCACCCTAAAAAAGTTTTGGTCATCCACAACATACTCTTCATGTAGGAACTCATTCCTACGATTCTTGATGGACGTCACATACCACTCTAGGGTGGCTGCTGAAGTCGTCCACTGAGGATCATCTGGAGGTGCCAAACCATCACAGCCGAATATGATGCAGATGTATAAAAGTGAGACATCAAATGTCGTGGTATCACTCTTCTCCATCTTTTTCCTTTGACTCTGATTAAATTTCTTGCGTATTGTTGTCATAGGGATCATCTTCACCTGTATGAGGTACTCGTAAAAGGCCTTGCCAGCCTGTCTCCTGGGAGTGCCTTTCTCTAGCACGAACGTGAGCACCTTCTTGCTCGTCTGAGTGGTCATCTCGTACAAGGCGTAGGCCAGCTTGGACGGGGACGGAGCCATTTCGGAGGTGGACGGTGACAAAGTGGTTGCCGGTCTGCAAGAAAACATAAGAGTGGGTGTCAGTCTTTCAGTTCAATTGCGGTCTCATTAAAATATCCACATGGCCAATGCTGAACAAAGAAAGGCCGTCATAACGGCACAAACAAGCAGACTGAGAGTCGTTCAAATCAATGCAAACTAGATTCTGGCAGGTGTGGAACTCCATCCTCGCCACCAATACACCAGCTATGCTAAGCATCATCCCTAGGTCTTGAAATTCGGAAGTCAT